GATCATAGCCAATTTGTGGGTCAACCTGGAACTTCGAAAGCATTTAAATCACCATACCCGGTTATGTCCACCTCTCTCCCAATGATCTGCAAATGGATTTTCTCGTCAAACCATCAATTTGGGTTGGTAATGCAAGAACAAGGAAGTAGTTAAGACAATGATTCAAAAAGCGGACCGCCCAGCACCTAGGTGGTCCAGAAGGACTAGGTGCATTGCCCAAGCCCAAGCGGCCAAGCTAGGTGGGCGGTCCTTGGGAGGTGGCCTAGGCGGTACATCAACCGCCTAAGCGGGCGCCCAGCCCAAAGCCTGCGCCCTGCCCAGAAGCGGAAATGGATTTTTTTTTGGGGTTCTTTTGAGGTTTTTTGACAAAAAACAATTCTTTTAAAGGTGGGTTTTAGGATCATTTGAAACATAAACCCACAAAACCCCATTTTAGAGAGAAAAACCTCAAAAAAACTAGCTTTTGTCTATTTTTCTTGGATCGAAGTGTTTCTAATCGAAGTGTTTCTCAAAGTTACAGGAAATGGATCCAAAGATCACCATCAAGTTTAGATTTAGTTTTGGAGCTTTTTTAGGTCCTATTAGAGGGTGTTTTTTAATATTTTAGCACCAGAAAACATCTCAGATGTGGAAGTTTGGAGTTCGAGTAATCAAAGTAAGTGGCTAAGTGCAAAACTTTATTTTTTAGATTGCTTGTTTTATTTTGAGATGTCTTTTCCAGGATTTAGTCAAAATGGAGATCCGGATTGAAAATATGGATATAAGAAGAATCCGACGGACGAAATTTGCATAAGATGCAATTATTGTGAAAAAAGATACAAAAGGAGGCATAAACCGGTTTAAGAAACATCTTGCTGATATTAAGGGGAATGTTACCCCTTGTAAAAATGTTCCTGAAGGTATCAGAGAGGAGATTAACCAATATATGAGTTCAGTAAAACAAAAACATGAATAAAATCCTTGTCATTTGAATAGGTCTATTTCTGGTTGTACTAGAAGAAGCGATCCGGGTTGGAAGTATGGTCATAACCCGAAACCAAACGATAAAAAATTGTATAAGGTGTAATTTTTGTGAAAAAGATACCAATAAGGGCATTAACTGATTCAAGAAACACCTTGCCGGTATTAAAGGGAATGTTATTTTTTGTAAAAACGTTCCTGAAGCTATTCGGGATGAGATTAGACAATATCTAAATTTAGTTGAATCAGAAAAGGATGAAAATGAGCCTTGTTCTATAGAAATATCTTCTCCAGATTCTTCTAGAAGTGGTGATCCGGGTTGAAAGTATGGTCATAACTCGAATCCGAATGACAAAAATTGTATTAAATATAATTATTATGGAAAAGATACTAATGAGGGTATTTACTAGTTCAAAAATACCTTGCCAGTATTAAGGGGGATGTTCCCCCATATAAAAATGTTCCTGAGGCTACCAGGGAGGAGATTATACAATATTTGAGTTCAGGGAAGCACAAAAAGATAGAAAATGGTAGAGCAGCCAAAACTCCTAGGGCCTCATCTGCACAGAGTAAGAGGGAGGTAGAAGAAGAGGAGGACGAGGTAGATTCAGAAAAAATAGAGGAGGACAAGCGTTATGTTGAAGAGAGACATGACTCTGAGTTTGATGATGATGGCCTCAAATCCGATGCATATGATGAGGCTTACCCTACTTCTGATGATGATGACTGAAGAATGAAGAGTTGAAGATGCTTGACTCTTGGTGTTGAGTATTGACTATTGAGTGCTGCCTATTGAGTCCTAGACTGCCTATTTTCTGAATTTTTGTATATTTTCTTTTTCTTATTTTTAGTTTATAGTTTTTATTATCTAACTTTTTTGTGTATCAGTGTATGCTTGTATGGTTTTAGCATTGTATAAAAATATGGATTATGGACTATCAAAATTCTCCTCATGCATGGAAATATCAAATATGGATTATGGATAGAATATCAAAATTCTTATATTTGTGGTTAGAATATCAAAATTCTCCTCATTTATGGTTAGAATATCAAAATTCTAACATCTTTCTTTCTGCAGGGCAGCCAAGGTCCTGGGCACCTGCCTAGGCGCTGGGTGGCCTGGACCCCCACAGCCGCCTAGGTGCCGCCTAGCGCTTTTGAAACACTGAGTTAAGATTGATGGCCAAGAAGTACCTAAAAGAGATAATTTTTATATCTGGGGTGATTGAGAAAGTCACACATGGCAACTAGGTAGTTGAAGTGGAGATGTGCTTCCAAAGTCTTATGTGATTGTCGCATACCAATGAAACTAAAGGGGAATTTCTATAGGACGGCTGTAAGACCGGCCATGCTTTATGGGACAGAATGTTGGGTGGTCAAGAAACATCATATTCTTAGAATGAGTGTAACTAAGATAAGGATGTTGAGATGGATGAGTGGTAAGACAATAAATAATAGAATTGGTATAAATACATCTGAGGGAACTTAGGGGTGGCTCCAATAGACGATGAGATGAGGAAAAGTAGACTTAGGTAGTCTAGTCATATGTTGCGTCGACCTAGAACAACACAATAAGGAGGGACGATTTGGTTCAAATGAAAAGCTCTAAAAGGGCAAGGTAAGGCACAAAAGGACATGGATAGAAGTAGTGAGAAGATATATCGTGACTTATGGTCTGAATAAGGGTAGGGATAGAGTGGAATGGAGGAACATGATTCATGTACCCAACCCCAAATAGTTAGGATAAGGCTCACATGGTGATGATGATGAACCATCAATTTGGATTGGTAGTAAGATAAGTTCCTAATCACCCTATGATTTTGTGTTACATAGGATTCATCCATTGGATTCATTTCTTTGCTGGCCTTCCAAGGCATCACATCTCACTTCTTCTTTTTTAATGAAATTGATTGTACCTTAATCAAGATATGGGACCACATGTCACATAACCTTCATATCTTCATAGGCTAGCTTTACATGTAAATTAGTATACAAAATCAAACTCAAATCTGAAATTTCTGCCTTTGAAGTTTCATTTGTGATATTATGTTTTGAATTAGGGAGATGTTTGGTTCCAGACCTTCACTCAAAGATTGTCCATGCCGTTTACATGACTCATCTTCCTCCACACTCTCTTTGCCACATGTTTTGGCCTAGTAAATATGGCAACCATGTGAGCCTTACTATCTCTTCCGTCGTCTACGTTCTCCCATTCTCTCTTCTCCGACTATAGTTCTTCTCCTGGTTTACTAACACCATCAAAGAAACCAACTCACTACTTTTTGCCAATTACTCATTTCTTTTTCTCTCGTTTTCTCCATGGCATCACCATTCCTTGATGATTTTGCTCGCATCTTCCTTGCGCATCATCTTGCTTCAATATCAAAGTTTCACATGCTGGAAGGCTTTGGTAGCTCCCATCGTGCCACCCAAATTGGACTGCTTTGGTATTCGATCCCACATCAGCATTGTGGATTCTACAATTTCTTTTATGCCCTCGCCTCTGCCTAGGCCTGAATACGCCGTATTGTTTTTTATATGCCATGATATGACACTTTTAGAGGTTTAACTCCTTAAAATACCCACTAAGTCTTTCTCAGGTCCCCCCACCAGACTGTGGCCCTTGTGCCTAGCATGTGTGGATAGATTAAACGACCTCAAGGGAGATCGAGAAGGCCACCTCTGCATTAGTTCCCTCGTATCAAAATGTCAGATAGTAGATCGAACACCTGGTATCCTCATGCACCAGCAACTATAAAACTATATACTGAAATTCGCTCTAGAGGCAACCCTGGACCAGCAGGGATTAGGGTGCATTCCAGAACTTCAATGAAAGAGTGTAACAGTCCTTTTCTGAGCCTGTCAGTACTGCTGATGCATTAGAAGCAGATTCAAGAGCACTTTACAGGTGTAAGACCATTCAACCACATATGGGGCAAACATTTACTTGAGGGAGATTCCACGAGAGCCATTTCATGATCTTAAAACAAGGGCAGTACATCTTTTCCAATTCAACAGGATCTTCCGAGAAATATGGGAGGAAGTTTCTTAGTCCCAAGGATCGACTACGAAGACATCTGTAGAGAATCAAATGTTTTGGAAGATAGCTCGACACATGGAGTCACAAAAACTTCACCAGAAATTAACAAAACGAAGTGAATAGCCATTTTCAATTGCTCAATTTTTTCATTATTACCTCAGTAACATTATTTTTTGTAAAATTTTGTCAAGCACTTGGGAGATTATACACATTTTTGTAAAATTTTAGTAAATCAGTGGCATTACAGTTAATAATCATTTTTTTTTATTAGTTCTTTTCTTTTCTTTTGTTTTCTTTTTTTGTTTGGTTGGGGGGAGGGAAGGAGAAACTTTGAGATTGAGCTCTAGATCTCTCTTGGCTTAGAAGTTCCGATAGACACATCCCTAAAGAATCCTCGCATTACTTCTCAGTCTCCTCAAATCTTTGCATCAATCTGATAAAATCTACTTTTACTGCCTTGAGAACATTCATCACACAAAGGGTCTTTCTACAACTTTGCAATTGGCTAGATCGTATCTCAAGTGTTCAGAAATGCAACGTCGACAAGCATCAATGCATCTGACTGAATTTCAGCCCGGTCAAATGTTTTATAACAACATAAAAGAAAATTATGGCCAATAATAATTTAGATATGATAATAATATGCATTTGCTCGTTTTGCAATATAAGTACACATGAATTTAATGGATTTGCGATAACCATGAATTACAGCTAGAAGAGACTGATGAAATTTGGGGGCCTCATATGTCATTTGTTTCATTCAACAACAAAAAAAATTCATATGCAATGCAAAATAGTTAGAAATTGATCTCAACTAGTAATTGGCTCAACTTGAAGTTCTCTCAATAAAATGAATATTTTAGGATTTGCAAGAATAACAGAACAAACGAAATTAAGTATATAACAATGAACTTTCAGCAATATCTGGCATTCACGGAACTCAAAAGCCTAAATGAAATTGAGCTAATTTTTATTTCAATGAAGCAGGCCAATGGAATACCTTAGTCCTCATTGCACGTAGGATGCCATCCGAGTCAGACATATTCTCCAGACAAGTCAGTGCCACCTTTAGAAGATCAGGGACACATGCTTGGACATAAAGAGACAAAGTCTGAAATGCATCTGTTGTAATTTCTGGCACTCTTGGGTCAAGTGGAAGAAATGGGAGTTTAGTGATCTCCCTCAAAGCATCAGCATGTTGACCAGTTCTAGCTAATTTATTCACATATAATATTGCCTCAAGCTGCCGTAGTACGGTCTGCTGCTCTAAAATCAGTTCTCTTTCCTGAATGCTGCAATTACGAAAAGTGAGAGCATAAAAGGCTAGGCAACCTTATCTATACAAAAAGCATCACATTTTGTTAGAAGACTTGACTGATCACAAAACATATAAGACAACCATTGTTACTCAAAAAATAAGAAACAGCTAAGAGATAATAGTGCTAATTGTGTGCGATGGAACATCTTACAAGAACTCACTACATATGGGATGTACAGAATCAAATTAAATATGCACCAATAAACGCATCCACAAAAAAAAACGAACAAAGTTTGAAAGTTGAATTTTGAAGGTCATAATATTTGTTTCATAACAGAGTAAAAATTATTGAGAAAACCCATAATGGAGCATAACATAAAATGCATACATACCAGGTTTCCGAAGAATATTTATAGGTGTCCAGGATATCATTGCCAGCATGAATCAAACCAGCAGTCCGACTGTCACCATCAGATCTACCATGAGATAAGGCACAAATTGCTTCCAAAAGGCACTTGTTAATTGTCTCCAACGCCATTGCAAAGGCTCCAACCCTTTTGTGAATGTCTACAGACTAGAAACCATTTCAACAAAAAGAAATGTAACTGATGATGAATAAGAATAAGAATCTCAAGGAATGGAAGCCCCTAATGAAACAGCTAGTGTTTAGGAATGCAGAGATGTGTCACAGAGAAACAGCTCATCTAAAAGCAACCAAATGCATGCTTTTACTGATTTTGCAGGCTAGGGATTCCTTATAGATTCACCACATAAAATGGAAGATCATTGTAAAAAGTTTCGTCCATATTGTTTTCTGGGTGAGGTTTGTCTAAGGCATCAAACTTAAATAATCAAAGTATGGCTCACTCTAAACTATGCCGCAAGATAAAGTTCCAATTATTGTCATGAAAATTTATTGTCACCTCCAATTATGAAATTTAAAGCTCCAAAAATGGTGCAGATCGAGCAGATAAATAACTTAAAATTTTGAAAATGGATGATCCAAATAATGTATAACAAAATGCACTATTTCATGATCTGAAATTCTTGTTTTCTATATTTATACATCTCGAGATCGAGATGATCGATTTGAGAGTTTTCCAGCATTGGAACACCCTTTTTAGATATACTTTCGAGGTGCGCCTTACTTCAACAATATAAGGTTGAGACCTTATATAACTTTTTCCTTTTTTCAATAAAAAGGTTATTGGCCATACTAAGTATCTCTAATATAAAGCCTGGTACAATTTCCAAATAGGTAGATAAATATTCACAACCATTTACATTAAGATGCCATTGTAGGAACTTGACAAGTCTTAGAAAGACAATGCTGATACTAAAATCTAATGCATCAGTAAATCAACCAGTACGCTTATAGAATTTGTCTATGAACTACAGATAGAAAAACATAACAGTTCGATAGAAGTAAATAAGATACTTTTTCTAAAATACTAAATAGAACATTCTCATAATTTCAAACCTCAAAAAACAATAAAACACTTAGATGCAACCAAAAAATGATCGATAGGAGAGGACACAATGAAATTTAGAGAGATTTATAGCAATATTATTTTCAAATTAGAAAAAAAGAGCATTCGAAAAACAGCTCCCTTGACAGCTACTACAATAAATAATAGTAGTAATGGAAAAAGCAGTCTTCTATTCCATTACCATTAATAGAATTATATGCATATATATATATATATATATATATAT